ATTGGTTCTTGTTTTGTTTGTTCCCATAGTTTCTTGTTGGTTGTTGTTCTTTCCTGCCATCTGATCTTCAGTATCGAGCCAGCGAAGACAGCTGTTGATAAAGGTCTGCAACAGGCTGTTGGAAATGCTCATTCTTTGTGACCCGCCACCAAGTTTCTGATCCGTATAGCAAAACCGACTTGACGTTTGTATTGAAAATCCGAATTTTGTTGTCGATGCTGGCTGGGTTGAGTGACGAAGATTTCCAGATTGGTTTCAGGTTGATGAATGTGTTTCTCGCCTTCCCGATTCTCGCTCGATTTGACATCCTCGTCCGTTCCTCCTGTGGTTGAGACAATGCTCCCCAGATAAGTGAAAGAAGTAACCTCTTTCAAATCCCTCCCGTTGTGTATCTACTGGTTCCCACTATATTAGCACTATGAGTATTACAAAATTGTCCTGTCATTAACCATCATGTAATTATTAGTTTGTGTGGTTGTTTTTCTATTTTTTTCTATTTTTTTCGGCAATATTAACTGACAATCATCGGTTGTGAACGCCATTGTCACCACCTTAAAATTTTGTATTATGCAGGATCACTCACACTACCACTACAAACACTGCATTAGACCTGACAATAAACAGCAAAACAACAACCCTGAAATGTTATTTTATGATTGTTTAGAGTTGTTTCAACCAAATTAACTGACCATCTTGGCGATAAACATTCTTAAATATCATTTCATAACTTCTTCTATGACTATAGCTTTACTGTCACTATGCATAATCATATCATAGCTTCCACTACCCAATAATGAGTTGCTATTATTATATGCTGTTTATTTCCCTTTCTACTTATTGGTGTTTGTTCGCATTTTTTAAATTATTTTTGTGTTTTTTTTGCTGTTGTTTTCTTTATATTTATTTTTTTGAAATACTCTTTTTAAATGTTTGATAAAATTAGATGCAAATATTGTAGATATGTGTTGAAAATTCCACACTGTACCACTAGTACTGTTTCTGGAATAAAGCAAATTATTATTATTATTAATTAGTTTGGAAGGAGGGGTGAAAATTAATCACGGAATTCAGAATAAGATAATTTGTAAGGGATTAGTGACACATTACTGCATAACCAAGAAATCTGTCGAACAATGATGACTAAGAAGAATAGGATGACTCAATAGAATTACGAAAAATACAACCAAATTAATAGAATTAGCTAAAATTGTAAAAATAACAAGGCCAAAACATAGTTACAAGGGGAAAAGGAATATATTATATATATATATATATTGCATGAAAAATGGCTTGAAATAAAGCCATTAATATCAAAGTAGACTATAGTGTTGAGTGTAAAGTTGTCATCTGTAAAAATTCCTGTCCAATCGAGAATTCATACCTCTAAGCATTAATTATCTAATTTTATTAATAAATGCCTACTGAAACTATTTTGTAGAAATAATTGAATGAACACAAAGCATCTTGTATGGCAGATTTTTATAATCTTCAAAGAAATCCTTCTTTCTTCTTTCGAATTTCTCAAGGGATAGAAATGTGTGCCAATACAGAAAGCGAGAATGTGGGTGGGAGAGAGTGTCAGATGAAAATGAACACCCTGAAGGAATTTATACATCTTATGATTAACTATTTAGTAAAGCCTATATTATCTCTCGAAAAAACATACATATGTGATATAACTTGATTGATCGATCGCATAAGACAGCATTTTCTTGGCTTTCTGATATTCATATCACTTCCACTGGACTATTCTTTATACACAACGAAGTTCACCAGTTGACTTGTTTGCTACCCTTTTGTGACGCTTGGAAACAAGAAGGAAAGATAAAACGATGCAGGTTGGTGAAAGGTTTTGAGAAATCGCTCAGATGAGGAATGTCTTCTTCCAGGGGATGTGAAATGTTCACGAGATGTCTGAACCTGGTTGAGAAGGCTGTTCAGACTGCAGAAGGAATGAAAAAATATCGTTTCAGAGTGAGAGAACTGATGGAATGGAAGCGAACTCCCTAAACTGTTAACTGGCGAGTCCGAGAATCAACTGCGGCTTTTAAACGACAACCACAAACACACACTTGGGGAGAGGTGTAGTCATCACTGTTAAGAACAGCGTCGAAGGCTTATATTCAGTAGGAAACAATCTCCTCCAGAAATATAGACCTATAGCTTACTGTTTAGTTATACTTGGTTTTCAAACAGTGACGAGGATATCAAAGCAAGAATCGGGAAAGAAAGACAAGCTTTCACTACTCTCAAGTCTGTGTGGAAGTCAACAGCACTCACCATCAAAACGAAGATAAGATCCGGATTTTCAACTCCAATGTGAGGTCAGTCAGTGCTACTCACTATACGGATGGATCAGAGACTTGCACTGCACGTCATAAAGAGCATCTCAAACAAACTACACACCTTCATTAACAGCTAGGTGTCTTCGCTCAATACCACTCAAGATCAGATGGCCGGCCAGAAAACATCAGCAACAGCGATCTCTGGCTATGAGCGAACCAACCCAGCAGGAACCAATTGTGAAACAGATATGCAGGAAGAAATGGAGATGGATTGGCTGGCCATACTCTGAGAAAACAAACCATCAAGTGACATCACTAGACAAGCCATTGCTCCAGTGGAACCCGACGGAATAGGAAGCAGCGAGTTGGTCGTCAGTGCAAGGGTGACTTGGAGGAGGTCATGTGAAGAGGAGATGAAAATGTGTGGGCAGACTTGGAGCCAGGTGAACCGAATGCAATGTAGACGCACGGCTGAATCCCTATGTTCCTCTAGGAATTAAAGGAAACAATAATAATAATAATACAGGGATGGTTGAAGACCCGTTCTAGTTACACCAAGGTTTGAACACACACTCGTAGATACCCCACTGCCAACTACATGTGAATAAAAGTGATTAGTAAATGATAAAAAAAGAGATAGCTAACTGCAGCAAGCATAATTTAAATATTACAAACTGGCTTAATTCCCATTGAAACTGTCTTCATATATATAAGATAGCTTAGATAAGAATTTATTTATGAAATCCTTCAAAAATGTTATGCACGCTGACAGAATTCCCCTACATATGTATATATAAACATCTATGTGATTATAACTGACCAGTAGTGACCATGCATACATAGGATTGTATAAAAAAAGGGGCGTTTTAGAAATATCATATCGAATTGTCAACATTTGGCAACACATTTCAAGTGTATCTATCATCACTGAAGACAATCCAAAGTAGAAAACAAAACAAAAAATGGTCATCATCTAACCTAAAAATAGGACAATAAAATACCCTGCTGTTTATTATCTAATGCAGAATGACAAAAAAAGCTTGAATATATATGACAATCAACTTATAAAGCCAACTTGTGACAGCCCACAAAAATAAATAAAAAAAAATATAGGATTAAACTAGTTGAAAACAAATTGTAACGGATATAAACGAAGAAATAGAAATAGCACGGCTATTATTGCCAGCTACAAACGTAGTCATTATGTTGACAGTGATGGTGCTGAGAAGTTGTGAGTGCAGGAAATTATCGATTGGTGATAATTATATCATTATTATTATATTACTGTTCCCTTGGGTTCCTAGTGGAACAAAAGGCTTCAACTGTACGTCTCCACTTGCTTCTGTCTTCTGCTGTACCTTTCACCCGCATCCATGTTATTCCAAACTGTTTCAACTCTTCTTCACACGATCTCTTCCATGTCACCCTTGCACTGACGTCCCACTCGCCGCTCCTCTTTCGGGTTCCACTCGAGCGTTGGCCTGACGCGCGATGTCACCCAGCGGCCTCCTCAGCGAGTAATCAAGTACATTTATGCATACAGCGTAGAAGTAAGACTCCTGTAATAGCAAGATGGATATCAAAGCTAAAGTTCTTGCTATAATTCAATGATTCAACAGTCAACCTTCAAAATTAACGTCGACTGACGATGACGTTATTGGAAATAATATCACTATATGTAGGATGCATAGTATATCTCATTATAAATTATTAATGATAGTCACCTAACTGTTGCTTTTTTACTCTTCCTCCTTACCTTTACTGATTCACGTCATCAATTCACATGAATATAACTTAATGCTTATCTCTCTTTGCCTTTCATATGAAAAAAAGAAGACAACTGTCTACCAATTCGTTTTTGTGAGTTTTTTTTTCTCTCAGAGAATTTATTAAACTTCACCGAAAAAGCTTCTTTTTCTTCCCATCTCCTCTTTTAGTGAAAGCAACTAACTAAAGGAGAATTGAAATTAACGTGATGCACATTTTGTTAATCGTCTTTCCTTTTTATTACTCTTTTTTCTTTCATTTCTAAGACTATTTACTATGATAATCAGAAGCAAAAAAAATCAGTTTTTTTTTTCTAAACTGATGCTAAAAGTGAACGTAACACTTGAAGTACAGAAGTAAAATGTAAAAGTGAAAACAAGATGATGCAAGCCAGAGATTATTTTTATTTTCACTAAGTGAATACTAAAATATTTAATTGAATTTGAGATTTTTCCGTCGCTTGATTGGACCGAAGTGCACCTCGGTCTCAGGTTGACATGTCAGCTTCTTGTTCAGATGCTTCGACAATGTCTGGGCATGTAATTAGTTTTTATCTGTAGATTACGACTAGCAGTGGAATCAAGGATGCGCATTTCGCCCTATTTGGGACTCGTCCGCTGGATGTACCTGCATTTCCTAGTGAGTGATGTTCCCACCGGGGCTCGAATCCAGTGCCCTTGGTTTCAAACGTCAAAGCCTTATCCACTAGACCACTTGGGCCACGAGAGCCTCCGATTGTGCAACGGGTCATATTAATTTAATTGAATTTGAGATATTCCCGTCGATTGATTGGATGAATGCCCAGACGTCATCGAAGCATCTGCACAAGAAGCCGACATGTCAACCTGAGACCGAGCACTTCGGTGCAAGACTGCAGAAAAAAGAGGAGGAGAAGAGAAGAGAAAATGCAATCAAAGAAAAGAAATCACACCACACCACACCACTCACCGTGTACATTTTTAATAAACTGATTGACATTCTGTTTGCCCAGACTTGATTTTGCAGCATTCACATTGTGTAGACTAGTTTGTAGAAGGAGAATAGCATAGAATATTAAAGATAACTGATCAACAGTCACTGGAGGTGTTACTGTCTGTTTTGACAAATGGTTATTTGAACTGGAGGAGATATTCTGGGACGTGATAGGAGATGATGATGATGATGGCCAACGGACTGTATGATAATATTCTGAGATACATTGGAGTAAACGATCGATTTCTTGTGATTCCACCTGTTCAATTATAAGTAGTAGAATCAATCGTGTTAATGTATACATATAACAGGAAAGAAATCTTATATAAAAACGGCAGCATGAAATTACATCTGGTCACATTTATGAATTTAAAACAAGGTTATTCTATATATGTTTCATAGTATCTCACTAGACTGTGTGCAGTTGTCTACAGGCTTTGAATTATTCATTAATAAGAACCACCGAAAATACCCATTGAGTCATGAAGAAAATAAAAGACAGATTCAACGAACGTACAGTCGTATTTATACTTACCAAAAATGTATAGCGGTCTATTATTGAGTAATAGGGGTTAACATAATTGTGATATAATTACTCGGAAGTGGCTTTAGAAGTGAAAATTAAAAGTTGTGAATTACGTAGTACTCAACGGAACAAAGATAGAAATTTGATAAGGTTAAAATTGCTATTGAGTGAGAATAAAAGTGGTAGTTGAGTGTCAATTTAACAAGTGTGAAGAGGGTGTGAAAATATACAAAAGGAGCATATGAGAGTGATAATAGTGAATTAATTATTAAAGCAAAAGCAAACTAAAAGTGAAATTAGAATGAAAATAAAAAATCCAAAATATATTTTATTTACAAGGAACGATTAGTGAAGAGGTTAAGACCAAGGTAGAATAAGAGACTGGACAAACTTTTTCTGTATACAGAGTTCAGGGTTGTATTGATGAATTGCCAGAGCCTCCGTCATACGCAAAAGCCGAAACCTGACGCCCTTTGTACCATTTGGCTTCACTTTGTAGATGATCTTGAAAGACGATTCTGGTGGAGCTACGTGGCCTGAGTTCACCAAATGCTCGAGAATTGAGCTAGTAATTGTCTTACATTATCCCTTTGCTAACCATGCCGGATAATGTTCAGAGATGCTTTTGGAAAGCGTGCGTTTTGTGCGGCCAATATAACTAGCTCCACACGAGCAAGTGAATTTATAAACACACATTGAGGTGGCCCAAAGCGGCAGTTTATCCTTCACACATCCGTTGATCGTCTGTCGGCTGTAGAAATTGATACGTAGCTCAGCCAAAAAGAAGGATAAATAAAATAATATCTCACTAAACTGTTTGCAGTTGTTTACAGGCTTTGAATCATTCCTTTAATAAGAATAATAAAGACTTCGGAATAAGAGAACACTTAGCCTAATTTCAACTTATGAAAGATGAGATATGGAATATATATATTTTTCCCCATCCCCCTGTTTATTATGGCATTCTAATTCCTAATTGTAAGTTTTATTAATTCAACCCCTAACCAGAAATTGTTCTGGAACTTTCCCATCCATTTGATATAAATACACGAATGTACAGCCTAGATGGTGACTTCGTCGAAAAGAAAATTTTCTTCTCTGCAACTGTCTTTTTATACACTAGATCTGTGAAGGTGGATGAAATATTTGGCTACCCAGTGGATATTTGCAAGGTTCAAAAAGGATTGTATGCTACCTGCATGCGTTTGACTCTACAAAAATATTTAAATGAGTGAGTGCATCAGTGAGTGGTTCAGTATTTGAATGCAAGCCAACCATGCACGTGGTTTGAGTTTGATCCCCAGCCGGTAATAAGCTCAGTAAACAGGGAAAGTTGGGCAACACTCCCCCACTCCCCACAAAAATAACACCACCATCATTGAAACTTCAAAGCTTAAATCTCTATTTTCTATTCGGAACGCAAATGAATGAAATACACACATCAAAAAATCGAATGAGAACAAAATAAAATCCTTTGTCGGCGAATTTCAACAATAGCGTCCCAGGAGTGTAACCGCTCCAATGACCTTGAACGCATGCTAGTCGTTGACTAACGGCATTTGTCACTATCGCAGCTGAAATATCAACGCTATTCACCAACTAAGCAGCAAATTTCACCCAGATCACTTTTTTAAGTACTGTTTGGACAATGTGTCAATAGCTCGTTAGGGTAAAGGTAGGTATTGGAGTTAGGGTTAGAATTACGGTTTGAATAAGGGTTATGATTAGGGTTAGGATTAAGGTTAGGTTTAGTGTTAGAGTCAGGATTGAGCTTATGGTTACGATCAGGGATAGATTTATAGTTGATGTCATTTATTTTAATTTTTCTATTATCCACGTTTTCCCGGTAAGTAGTCATATATCTTCTTCCTGGAAACCATAATAATTCAACCACGGGCTTTTTTCGGAAGATTGCAAGCAGGATGAGAGAGATAAATGATTCACAAAAACAGTTTATCTGTAGTCATCTCGGTGAATACATGTACAGAAACTAGTCTACCTTAGAAACTGAAACTCCTCGTTATAACTAGGACGTATTTTTGAGCCATTTCAGAGAAAGATAACCTGTTTAATGTGTTTTCAAGCATTTTCTTGTCAATATACATAATTTTTTTTGTGCAAGCATTCCTCATTTTTATGATTGGTCAGCTGAAGGTCACTCGTGCGTTCGCACTCCTGGGACGCTATTGTTGAACTTTGCCCCTTTGTCTTTGTCTGGCAAAAAAGTTGCTATGCGAATATTGAAAATAATCAATTGATAGCGTATAAATTTTGATCCTACTAAGGTTATGAGAAACTGATTTAGCTGCACAACTCACTCCCGAACTATTTTTCTCTTTCTTCATCTACAGTTTTTTACTTCCCAGACAATCATCACAACTTGTTAGGTTCTAGTGGAGTACTTCCACAACTTACTTTGGAGTTATACTTCCTTCATTTAATACCTTAGGCAATAGATAATTACTAATATACGAGTAACGACCTTACATTCAACTATTTTATCTCTTGTAAACTTGAATAAGGCGAATTTTCCCACTAATTCACATTCCTAAACTAAGATTCGAAGCTTCAGTAATGCTGGTGTTGCGAGCCTCACGCCAACCTTCCCTCATTATTGATCTTACTACCGACTAATCGAGGTTTAGCCGGGCGTTAGGTGGAAATCAATCCTTCACGATATGAGTGGTTTGCGAGAATTCTGCTGTTGAACCACAGACATAGGAATAGCGGATTAAGATTAGCTTCTTCAGGATAAAAAGTTTTCATTTTACTACTTCAAAGCGTATCCATCATCTGTGCATATACTAAGTAATAAAGTTATCGCCATGGTGGATATATGTGGATGACACTTTCACACACAGTGTTAAAAACAGAACATATCTCTAGGTTCTTGGCACATATAAACTCACTAGTAGAGGGAATAAAATTCACATTTGAATAGGAAAATGAACAAGGAGAATCAACTATGTTAGACTGTAATATAAAACGAATAGAAGAAGGTAAACTGCACACTAGCGTTTATAGAAAACCAACGCATTCTGCTAATTCGTCTCATCCGTTAACTGTTAAGGCAGGCTTAGTGAAGTGTTTAACAAACCGAGCCATAGCACTAAGTAGCACAAAAAAGGACCTGAACGACGAAATAAAACAGATAGAAGAAGCGTTGTTATCAAATAACTATCCTATAAAATTAATTAGGAAGATCAGAAAAGACCAAACGGAAAAATAGAAATAATTGTGAAACTAATAATGATAATATAAATAAGAGAGAATTTAAGGCACCTACTGTTATACCATATAAGGAGGGGACATCTGAGACCCTACGTGTGACTCTTAATAGAGCATGAATTAGAGTGGCATTTAAACTTACAAACTCACTAAGAGACAAGCATGATTAACGTCAATCTTCTGTTCTGTCTCCACAAGATGAGACAGAATAGTGCTGTGAATAGATTTTGTTTGTCCTTTGCTTAACCACGCAGGGTGGGTGATGTTCGGAAATTCGACGCGAAACACGCCTTATTGTACGGCTTATGTAAATGGCTCCACAGGAGCAGTTAAACTGGTAGATACACATGGAAGAGGCGAAATTAGGCAGTTTGTCTTTTATTCCCGAACGCAGAAGAGGAGTGGTTTTAAAGATACAGCGTAATTGAGCAGCAGGGAATGCTCGTTTTACCGCCTCATTTCTAAGGCGCTGTGTTAGTATCTCACTGGTGTTGTCTCCAAGGAACTGCATCTGTAAGAACAAGGCCTTTTTTGGAACTGTTAGTAACTTCAGCTGTTTTGGTTTCAGATTCATATTCTTATAGATAAACTTTTCAGGATAACCATTCCCACTTAGCAACCGTTTAATATTGTTAAGTTCTTCGTGAAGACATTCGTCCGAGTAAATCTCTCTTACTCTGTGAACCAAGCACTTTATTAGATTGCGTTTGTATTTCAAGGGCACAAAGCTGAGAAAATGTGTATATTGGCCCGTTGATGTAGGTTTTCTACCAACACTTCTTCTTATTGTTCCGTCCTCTTTTCTGGTCATAAGGACGTCTGAAAATGAAATACAAGAGTCTTTTTCTTTCTCAATAGTAAAAGTTATTGTCTATGCTCTACCGTTTGTCAACAAAGTGCAAACATTATTTCAAATCTAAAATGTGCTATTGAGTACAATAAGAGGCCTCTGCGCCCTTCAGTATGCAATATCACTGGGTTTCTTTTTCAGTGCAATACATATTACTTAATATATCTTGTGAAATCCATTGCTGAATATTGTTTTCTCCTCAGTATTGACTAGTGGTGTCGCTAATACTCGAGTACTGGCAGACATTAGAATTCATGAGCCCCAGAGGATTTCTTCTCACATGGTGGGATGTTCAACGAGGTCACTTCATAGCATGAAAGTTCAGAGTTGGATCCCTGGTTGAGTCATGGGTGCGCACTAACAAAATGTTCCAAAAAACTAGGACGAAACAGCTGTCCAGTTCTCCCTGTCGGCCTTCAATTTCTGCTCTCTAACTGAATTCAGCTGTGGTATTCTGACTTGAGACTGACTTATCGAATTCCTACAGACCAACATTTCAAAAAGTCTGACTTATGTTAAACTAGTACAACGAAATACACTGTTCCCTACAATATCCGAGATTTATTGGTTCCTTCCTACACAGCACAACACATACTACTAAATAAATATCATAAAAAATCTATTTGGGTGACTACTACCTCCTTGTCAATATGTGT